AGGCTAATTCACAAGCAGTAATTGAAGTCTCGCTGAAAATAAGATTATTTCTTACTCTCCATATGCACCAGCAAAAAGAAGGGAAGAGAATTGACCATATATAATGTTCTGCTATCACTTTCTACGTACCAAGAAAGAACCATAAGAATCAACAATGTAACTGACGTCTTGTGCTTTAGTGGAAAGCTTAAGGATTAGCATGAAAAAAGACTAGACATCTTTCACAAATGAGCAGTGAAGAAAAAAGTGTTCATCATTGTTAAGGGCCTCATTGCTAAAAGAACGCGTAGAATCTCATATCCATCCATTGGACTCCAAATTGGTCTTAGTTAAGTTTTCTTTAGAGAGAAGCCATAAGAAAATTTTAACTTTCACAGGGATGATGGATCTCCATATAAAATTGAAACCCTAAAATAATGTACCACTACCATCGAGGAAAGAATACAAGGACATAACTGAAAATGTACTGAAAGATGATAAGGCCACAAATTGTTCCCCTACCACTAGACGGAAAAATGGAAAGATTAGAAAGATAATGTTTAAGTCCTAAGACATATTCTCTCTCCTTAGCAATGATAGGTCTTTGAAGCAAAGGTTGCCATCTCCATTGGTTATTATTAAAGATCCCCTAAGATCTAACAGTGGCTTATTTAGAAAAAGAAAGGTTGTATTTTAAGGGGAAAAGAGAGGCTAAAGAGTTTGAGCCTGTCCATTTGACTTTCTAGAATCTAATACTGGAACCATCACCTAAACTCTATTGCACTAGACACTTTAAAGCTTGACTACTAGAGAAAACATCTTGCCAAAATTTAAAATCAATGAGACTTAGTCTTGTCTAACTAGGATTATGATATCCTAAAGAGTACATGGAAGAAAGAACTTTTCACACAGAAGAATCATTATAGACCACCTTCCACATCCATTTGAAAATCAAAGAAATGTTAGACCCTAGAGGGGGGTGATTAGGGTCTTATGCTAATCTAATCCGATTAAATGCCAATTAAAACTTATTAACAAGTTATCCTAGCAAGTATGAAATACAACAATGTATATGAGCTAGGATAAGTAATATGAACAACAAAGAGATATATCCTATATGATGAATATGTATATATGCAAGGATATATAAACAACACAAGGGTAAAATAAACAATCTACACAAGTGATAGGGTAATATGATGAGCAATACACAAAGACGATATAAGATATGAAAACAAGAATAAGAACGCCAATGCAATCATAAACATACGATATGATCACGGAGTTCGGACCTTCCGTCCTACGTCTCCGCTCCCCACTCCCGGGGAGAATTCCACTATCACAACCGGGTTTTCTACGTTCACCCGAACAACGTTTACACCTCACAGTATCGGTTTTCAACGCTCACCGATCAACGTCACTCCTCACAATCGGTTTTCTAGTTCACCGAAAACTTTCACACCACACTCGGTTTCTAGCTCACCGAAAACCTAACAATCTCACAATGTAACAAATATAAATTGTTCTCTAATATGGATGAGAACACAATAAAAGCTCACACTCAATGTTACAACTCTCACAACCCTAATATACTATGTATGCAAATACAATAAGCTCAAGTGGGTGTGTGTAACAATGAGATTCAATAAAATCAAATCAACTAAACTCAAGTATGAAATCTAGCTTAAGAAACAATGATAATCAAACAAGTATATAAATGTAAAGCTAGAATTTGAGTTTAGAAAACTTCTCTAGATCAAGATGGAGAGATGGAGAAATGAGCCCAAACAAAAAGATAATCTCCTCCACTTGTGAAAACCAAAACAGATTAAACCAAACCCTTAAACAAGCTTAAACTCTTTTTAAAAACCCTTGTTTAAAAACTTCTTATTAAAACATTGCTTAAAAGCTTTTTAAACAAACTTAAACCAAACATAAACCCTTGTTAAAACTTTCTTAAACTTGTTTTAAAACTCTCTTGGTTAGTTTGAGAGTTGAAGGCAATGGGGTACTTATACCCTCTCTCAACTCAGCCAAAAACGTGAGCAAAAGACAAAACACAGCCCCAATGCAACGGTCAAAAAACTAGCCGTTGGAAGCTGAAGGAACACTCGTCGGTCGACCGGAAAATTCGTCGGTCGATCGAAAATTTTCATCGGTCGACCGGACCGGTCGACCGACAGGCTTCTGTCGCCCAGAGAACTTTTGACCTCAGATTCGGTCGACCGGTGCGGTCGACCGAAAATAGATATGACAGGTTCTGAAAAATTGTTTATCTGATTTTAAAACGCTGTTTAAAAATATCAAATAAAATCCAAAAAATATAAAACTTTGGGAAATGATTGTAAACATGATAATAAACATGCTACAATGACTGGTTATCAAAAAGGACTTCCCAAATAAAAAATATCATCATTTTGCAAAATAGTCCAAAACATGAAAATGTAAACATATGAATCTTGACATTTTAGCTTAACCATGTTTTGAAACATTACAAAATGATTTTGTAGACTTAATAAAAGATGATATATATACGAAGAAACCAATAAATGTGTGTGTATAGATAATTGAGCTTAGAGTATATAACACACATAATATAAATCCTAAACTAAATTACCCAAGCTTGATCTTGATCTTCAATAAGCTCTTCTAGGTAATCTCTCGGATGAAGCTTTAACTTGGATCTTGAACTTTGAATAGCAAGGCTTCACCGACATTCCGCCAACCTCCTTTGGATATGATCGTTGAAGCTCTATTCCATCCATCCTCCAACTACGTTGTTTGTCTACAAAATATAGGAATGCACAAACACTAGACAAACAACATTAGTAATAAATTGTTTGTTAAACATCATCAAAACAAGAAGGCCAACAAGAAAGATTAAAATTATATAAATTAAGGATATCCAACCCACCATCCCTTTTGGGTTTACAAATCAAACTCAAATTCATTAAGGATCTAGCTGCAGAATTATTACTATTTCCTCTCCATAAAAAGTTCCTTCTGATCTTATCCATTACTTTTTATACGAGTTGCCGTGCGAATACCTTTGATCGTGAAATTATCAAAGGTGGGTTGAGAAGTAAATAATAGAAAACACAAGAATAATTCAGTTGACAGAGGAAAATACCTTCTCTAAATTATGAGTAATAAAAGATTACAAATATCTCTCTCACAATCTCACTAGAATAAAGAACAATCTTTCTATTCTCTTTGAATTCAATCTAATTCCCTAGAAACCCTAAAACAATCCTATTTATATCCCTAACAACATAGATAGCAATCTTGTAAATAAACAAGTCCAAACAAACCAGGAAAACGCGTCAAAAAGAGTCCTAGACATCTCAGGAAACTCGATCCGGTTGATCGGCTAGAGGGTTGGTTTCAAACCATGCAAGTAGAACCACTCTGGTCGACCGACCAGTGTGTCGCGGTCGACCGGTCAAAGGACTCATTCCTCACCCTGTAGTGTGCATGAATCCGGTCGACTGACCAGCTTGGTCCGGTCGACCGGCCAGAACCTACGCGTCAGTTCCCTGATTTTGTTGTCTTCTTACTTTTGGCTTCTTTTGCCGCCATCAACGCCTTCATCCACTCATCTATTCTCAAGATACCATGATAACCGTCTATCCTCAAGCTCCCATGAGGATAACTAAGCTCCCGAAACAGAGAAAAAGATACACACGGCCGTATCATGGCTCCCCCTTTTAGGAACTTGAAATCCCATTCAAGTTAGAACTTTAGCTGAGGGAACTCGCGAGTCTCTCCTTCCCTATTGAACCACCTGGCTTTGCTAGGAACCTGAACTTGGCGTCCGATCAGAAATGACTCCTTCGTCCTGCATCTCGTCGTAGTCATATTCTGCTCTAAAATACAATCCTCTTACACTGGCTCTTCTCTTTCAAACCACAAGTCTTCAACGTACGGTAAGATCACTTTGTCGTCACCCTCATCGTCCAATAATAGAGGCTCAAACAACTTTAAGTACTCGGCATTAATCACCGAATACATGCCTAAGTAACGTGGCAAATCTAGCATGAAGGCATTGTCACCAATCTGATCGAGAATTCAAATTGGACCATATCATATAGGCTTCAACTTCTTCTCTTCTCCCTTTAGCTGCTCCTTACTCAACTTCAGCCAGACCATATCACCTTTACCAAAGTTACAAGGAATTCGATGTTGATTATGCTTCGCCTTATACTTAGCTTGTGACTTCTTCAATTGAGCTTCAACCGTAGCGTGAATATGTGCAATCTTCTCTAGAAATCGTTAAGCCCGTTATCTTTCACTCCCTTCCTTGCCGTCGGCCATAGCTTCACTAGAAAACACGAGATCGAACGGACATGACGGTAAGAATCCGTAGCACGTCTCAAACGGTGATTTTTCCGAAGATCCATGAATAGTCCGATTGAATGCAAACTGAAGATATGGTAAGCTCTCATCCCAAGTCTTGGGATACCTGGAGTTATACCCCTTTAACATGTGTACCATAGTTCGGTTGACTACCTCTGTTTGTCCGTCTGTTTGTGGATGAAAGACTGTGCTCGTCTTCAATCTAGTGTCCATCAAACTCCACAAAGAATCCCAAAAATGCCTGAGAAACTAGCTATCCCGATCCAAAATAATCGAACTCGGTAACACAATTTGCTTCTACACATGTTCAAAGAACAATTACGCTGCACCAGCTCCCGTCATAGTCTTCTTACAAGGAATCAAGACCACCATCTTAACCGGTCCACCATAGTGTATAAATAGTCATGCCTGCGCTTGGTCGTTGGAAACCCTCCTAAGAATTCCATAGAGATGCTCTCCCACGGTCTAGAAGGTACTAGTAATGGTACGTGCAATCCTCGCTTCCTGTTAGAAGTCTTCGAAATACAACATATCTTACACCTTCCAACGTACTTGGTAACATCCTCTAGCATCTTTGGCCAAAAGACATGGCGCTATAGATTGAGAAGCATCTTATGAATCCTAAAATGACGTTGTACACATGATGTATGTACCTCTCTAACCCACTACAACCTATCACCATCCTCCACAATAGAAAGCGATGTCCCACGATATAACAAACCATCCTCTCCAAGCTCGTACTCCCCCCTTCGACCAGCCTTAACCTGATCGAACACACTACTAATGTCTTTACTGGATGTGTAAATCTGCACATACTCCAAAGGAACTAAGGGCTGAATACGCATCGCCACCAATAAATCCCTCACTGGCGGCCAAGATAACATATCGACCAACATGTTAGTCGCCCCCTTCTTGTACCTAATGATGATGTTGAACACCATCAAATAGCACATCCACTTTATGTGTCGTTCCTGCTGCAGCTTTATCTGGGCATGTAGGAACTCAAATGACTTATGATCCGAGTGCACAACCACCTCTTTATCCAACAAATACACCCCTCTAATGATTGATCGACTGATAAGTGCATAAAACTCCTTGTCGTAGGTAGGGTAGTTCTGAATAGCACCCGTGAACATCTCAGAATTGTACTCCACTGGCTTCCTATCCTATATCAATACGGCGCTCATAGCATAGCTAGAAGTGCCGGTCTCTACCTTGAAGGTCCTCTACAAATTAGGCAACACCAACATCGGTGCCTCCGAGATCTTCCTTTTCAGCATCTGAAAAGCCTCTTCATGCATCCTCCCCCACTCGAACTAAACATTCGTCTTCGTAAGGCTATATAAAGGTGCTGCATAAGTCGAAAAATATCGAATGAACTTGCGCAAGTACTGGAAAGACCCTATGAAGCTTCTCACCTCCGTCGCTGTCCTAGGTGTCGATCACTTCGTGATCACCGCCACCTTGCCTGGATCTATTATTCACTGGCCCTTCCCTATGATGAAGCCGAGATACATCAACTTGTCCTTCCTAAATTCACATTTCTTCCCATTGAGCTTCATCTGTCTGTTCTACAGCACTTCAAACACCTTCTCGACATGGACAAGATACTCCTCCTAGGTCCTGCTGCACACCAAGATATCATCGAGGTAAACTATCATAAAATCCTCTATAAAAGGTCGCAACAAATCATTCATGATTCTCATAAAAGTTTCCGGAGCGTTGCATAATCCAAATGGCATCACCAACCACTCGAAGAGACCCTGCTTGGTCTTAAACGCAGTCTTCCAAGTGTCATCCTCGCGAATCCTCACATGATGGTAACCAGAATTCAGATCCAACTTTGTGAAAAACCTCGTTCCCTCCAACTGGTCCATAAGATCATCGATCCGATGTAGTGGGTAATCCACACACATGCGCCAGCCTCCATTGTTCTTGGGCACCAATAACACTAGCGACCCACAAGATGAAAAACTCAGCACATCACTTCTGTCTCCAGAAGCTCCTGAACCTACTTTATCTCCTCAGACCCCTGTACAGATGTGAGGTATAGACCTATATTCGGCAAGGAACTCTCGCCAGTCAGCATAATCTCATGCTCCACACCCCGTCCTGGTAGTAGTCCTATGATCTTTAAAAATAAGTCCGCATACTTGGCTTCAACCTACCAAGATCTCCCTCTTGAAGCTTGCTCAATGTGGTCAAGCATATCCTACTCAACTGTTTATCATAAGGCCTAATGAATAACAATACAAACTTCTTACTTACATTAACTAGCCTCTTCGCTTGAGTCACTATCACCAATCTAGTCTCCTATGGAAGAGATGTCAAACGAAATATGAACTGCTCACCATCCTTGGTGAATGTACACTTCTAGGCCTGCCTGTCATAGATTGCGTACTTATCCCACAAATAGGGATTACCTAGTATAACTTGACAAACATCCAATGGAATGACGTCGCACGTGACCTCATCAATATACGACTCGTGGAGTGCAAATCTAAAAGTGCATTGGTTGATCATACTCAATCCTACCTCCTTCTGAATCCACCCTAAAGGACAAGGCTTCGGATGTTTTACCATCTTCAATCCCAGTTTTTGAACCAAGGCCTTAGATATCAAATTTTTCTAGCTCCCTAGATCAACGATGGCATCGACCAATCTAGTCTTCACCTTCAACTTAAGAATAAAGAGCTGCTCCATGGCGTCTTCGTCTTCATTCGCGACCTGCTTCCTTGCCATAAGGTTAAGACTGCAGTTGGGTTCTATCATCCTGGGAACTTCCTTCAGACCCTGTGCTATCACGTACGCCTTTTTTCCCTCCTTCTTCTTCAACCCCTTCGGCTTTAGATGAGGATACTGTTAGAACCTAGGGGGTGATTAGGGTCTTATGCTAATCTAATCTGATTTTATGCAAATTAAAACTTATTAATAAAATATTATTGCAAGATAGATATATAATATGTTATAAGCAAGAATGAGCAATATAACCAAAGAGCAATATCCTAGCAATGAGATGTATAGTGAATTATATGCAAGGATATATAAACTAATACAAGGGGAAATAAACAATCTACAAATGTGATAGGACAATATGAAGAGCAATACACAAAGGCGATATAAGATATGAATACAAGGATAGGTACACCAATGCAATAAAAAACAAAACGATATTATCACGGAGTTCGGTCTAACCACTTGACCTACGTCTCTGCTCCTCATCTCGAGGAGATCTCCACTATCACAACCGGCTTTTCTACGCTTACCCGAACAACGTTTACACCTCACACTCGTTTTTCTAGCTAACCGAAAACTTTATAATCTCACACTCTTACAATCCTACTTTACACCCTCTTAAGTGTTGGTATCTAGTCCATGTCTCCCTCAAGTGTTAGAAATTATAACATCTCTCTAGGTATTACCACCTACTACAGTCCTCTTGGGACGACCCCGTCTCTCATCACACACTTCTCTCGGTGTACAAGTGTATTACAAAGTGATCTTCACAAATAGGCTCACAATATAACAAATGATTTATTCTCTATAATAGATGAGAACACAATTAAGCTCACTCTCAATGTCACAAACCCATAACCCAAATTATATTATAAATGTAAATACAATAAGCTCAAGTGGGTGTGTGTGAACAATGAGTGAAATTAAATCAACTAAACTCAAATATAAATACTAGGTTAATAGAATGATAATCAAACAATATAAAAGTAAAGATAGACTGAGTTTAGAAAACTTCTCCAATAAATGACAAGAGTGAGAGAGAGATGATTTGAAGCTCAAACACCAAGTGATGATCTCTTCTAGCTCTTGTGAAATTGATTTTACAAAATTAAACTCTCAATTGCTTAAAAGCTTTTAAAACAAACTTAAACCAAACATAAACCCTTGTTTAAAACTTTCTTAAACTTGTCTAAAACACTCTCATTATTAGTAGAAAATAGTTATGGCAAAGGGGTATATATAGGGAAGAAGAAAACAACCCAAAAACCCCAAAAACCCCAAAAACTCACTAAAAAACAAAAATCAGCAAGTTACCTTTACTGTGCAACAGTAACTTCGGCGGTCGACCGTGACGGTCGACCGTGAGAAATAAAACTACAAAACTGCTCTTTGGACTACAGACGGTCAACCATGATGGTCAACCACACTATAACACGGTCGACTGTAGCGGTCGATCGCACTGTTTACGGACAGTTTTTGATTTTGACAGATTCTAGAATTTTGTGTATCTGACTTCATAAAATCAATTAAAAATAGTACATTAACTCAAAAATTATGAAATTTTGAGGAAATGTTCTAGACATGTAGATAAACATGTTAGAGAAATCATTTCTAAAATATCACTTCCTAGTTGAGATAAATAAATGTTTGAACATAGATATATAGTTTCTGAAAAAAACTACAGAAAACTCGGTTTTGTAAATTCAATTGAAAATAACAAAAAAACTTCAAAATTAGTAAAACTTGGGAAAATATTTGTATATATGATGATAAACATGTAAACAAAGAAATTTTTCAAATTACATTTCCCAATTGTGAAAACGCATTAGTTTTGTAAAAACATGCACGAACATGTGCACGAACATGAGCTTATTAAAAACTAGATTTTGTAAATTCAAATAAACATAAAAAATTAATTCCAAAATTTATAAAACTTTGGGAAGCATTTATAAACATAAAATTGAACATGTTAGAAAAAGAATTTCTCAAATTGAGTTTCCCATTTGTGAAAACTCATGTATTTTGCAAGTGTGTCCAAAACATGAAAACGTGATATACATGAAATTTGTTGTTTTGACATAAACAATGTTTTAAAACACTATGAAATGATTTTATAGACTTAATAAAATATGTATACAATGATTGTTAAATTCATAAACTAAAACTTGTGTATATATATAACTATATATATATATATATATATATAAACCAAATATGTGTGTGTATATATGATTGAGCTTAAAGTACTAACACACATAATATAAAACCTAAACTAAATATACCCAAGCTTGATTGATCTTCGATGTAGCTCAACTTGGTACACTTGTGGATGAACCTAGAGCTTGGATCATCAATTTGAATTGCATAGGCTTCACTCCACAATTCCGCCAACCTCCATTGGATATGATCGTGAAAGCGCAATTCCATTCATCCTCCAACATGTTATTTGTCTATAATAAATAGAATTATACAAACAGAAGACAAAATATATTAGTCCCAGCAACAAGCGATGGTCCTCAATATAACGACGGAGGAATACTCAGTTTTTATGAAGTATATGACGGGACTGAATGAATATATCCGGAAGGAGATGAAGCTATTCACGACCGACTCTATTGTAAAAGCGAGTGTGATTGCTATTGCCATTGAGGACAAATAGAAGAAGGGCAACGACACGAAGGGAGATTCCAAGCAAGCTGGAGGCAAGTCTAGTGGCTCTCAACCTAAGAAAGAGAAGAAGAAGGGTGATCCAGGGAAGGCAGGATTGACTTGCAATCACTGCAAGCAGACAGGGCACGTGGCTAATCGGTGCTGGGAGAAGTATATGTTGGCCTTCTTGTTTTGATGATGAACTCCGTTATGTATTCTTGAACGGTCTGGTTGAATCTTTGGTGTAAGTCGTACCACTTGTACTGATGCTCCTCAAGGAATCCTACCGGGTAGAATTACTTCCTCAGTAGCTGCTTAAACTTGTTCCATGACACTGTCTTCTTCTCCTGCTTGCAATAGGATTTTCACCATGTCAACGTGTGACCTGAAAGCTTCAATGTCGCAAAAACGATATTCTCTTTTGACGAGTAGCCATAAAGAGTAAAATAAGTTGCCATACGCTCGATCCAATCATCAAGCCTTTTGACGTTCACATTCCCATCATAAACATGAATCTTTACTCTGAAATAATCTTCAAATTTTGGTAAGGACCCTTACCCCCTTGATATGGAGTAGTCTTGACGGTCTTGACCTCCTCGCCGGAATTTGAATCTTCACTCTCTCCATCGGACTCTACAGGCTTCTTTTTGGATGTAGGCTGTCTAAAAATCACAATAGATAGCTGATTCCCCATCAAACACCAATGATGGAAGTTACAATATGACGACTTCCAGAAGACTACAATTTGAAGACTTTCACGTAGATCAATGAAGGTTATAATCTGACGACCTTCACAACAACTGATGAAAGCTCTAATCAACAACCTTCACAGTCAACATCAGGAGTTATGATCTGACGACTCTCACATATCAAAGAGCTAAAGCAAAGATTACAAAACGACGATCTTTGCAACGCTCTGATAGAAAGAGACTACAAATCGACGGTCTCCTCAAACCAAGACGCGGAAGTCCTCCCCGTGTACCAGCATCAAGACACAGTGTTTTTAGCCGTTGACGCAACTCAAGCTCGGCCACTAACACAGTGCAAACGTAGCTCCAAACGCTGCAAATGCAGCTTAGATCCAACTGCCAACGCAGCTCATGTTCAGCTGTAAACGCAACCTCCAAAAGCTGCCAACGCAGCTTCCATCTGCTGCCAAATGCAGCTCTTAAATGCTGCTAAACTACCGCCAACGTAGCTTCCAAATCGCTGCAAACACAGCTCAGACGCAGCTTCCAAATCGCTGCAAACGCAGCATCCAGACACTGCGTCCGAGCTTCCAGACGTTGCGTTCGAGCTTCCAGATACTGCGTTTGAACACAGGATTCACACCAGAATGCGGATTTTGCGTTTGACTCGTTCAAACACGAGCTGAACAGTTTCAAAACCATTTTCCACGATCTGAGGGGATCACAACTCCACTTAGGAGCAGATTAAGGGGCGGTTACATCCCACTAGCCCCACCAAGGAGCGAATTAAGGGGACGGTTACACCCCTTAATCCCCTATAAATAACTGAAAAATCAGTTTAGTTGTGGGCTTTTGGATCCGGCTCTGGGCAGCAAAGAAGAGACCCTTGGCTTGTCTAACCAATTACGTTTAAGATCAATCAACTCATCAAGAGTTCTAAAACTTGCTTTGCAAGTTCTCCACAGCGTCAAATCGTGAGGAGGAGATACCTTTCTAGTGAATCAAGACGTGCGGATCGTCAACGAGAAGCAAACTCGACATGAGCATTCGAGGGAGGCATCTCATCGCTACCGTGAAGAATGCATAATTAAACAAAAGGGAGAATCCAGATCATTCTCCTCTCTTTTGTAATCAGGAAATCCAATTGTAACTGAGATTAAAGGAATACAAATTAATTTTCCTTCATTTCTTTTACTGCAAATTTTCCCACAAACATTGGACTTTGTAGAAGATTCACCCTTTTTGTTCCCTTCATAGACAAGATCGATGAGTTATGTGAGAGTCGACCCGATTGTTTCAATCAGTTTCTCCAACGCATCAAGTCTTGTTGAATTGTCACTTTCCGTCATCTTCTTCTTTCTTAATTTCTAGATTTCTTCCAAGAAAATAAGAATCTCGCCTAATTTCTTATACTACGATCAAGTAAGGACCATACACAGGATTCCCCCTTCACAGGATCTGATCATTCTGATACCAACTTGATACGAGTTGCTGTGTGAGCAACTTTAATCACAGAATTATCAAAGGTGGGTTGAGAAGAAAACAATAGAAAACACAAGAACAATTTAGTTGGTGAATGAAAATACCATCTCTAGATTATGAGTAATAAAAGATTACAAATCTCTCTCTCATAATCTTACTAGAATAAAGAACAATCTCTCTATTCTTTTTGAATTCAATCTGATTCCCTAGAAACCC